CCCGCGCTAGCCTAAGGGCCACCTTAGCAAAGCGCATCCCAGGCTGCATAGCCGCACTACCCTACCCAACCATACCACACATAAACATGACACTACCCCCGGGGTTTACACAGACGAGCCGGCGAAGCAAGAAGAGCGCCAGAAGAAAGGGCCCTAGCCGGCGGGGCCCAGCCAGGACAAAAGGAGGTCCCACAAAGCGCCTACACCGGCCGCATTTGCGGTCGGGGTAGACGACGGATGGGGCCCACCTACGAAGGCTGTCGACCCTTCGTCGAGATGAGGCAGGATAAAGAGGGATAATCCCCCTCGATCCCAAATCATTGAGGCCAATTTCTAGCCATAGAATAATGGCGCGTGGCGCGGTTCTGTCGGTCCGAGTATAGTCAAGTCGTCGTGTCTGTCTTGGTAATTCAGCAGGACGCGACCTCTTGTGGTCGTCGTCCCGCTGTGCCATATGGGGGACTTCGCGTTGAGCCTGAGGAGGGGATTGTCATGTCTAGCCGCTACGTCAAACCGTTTCTCCGCGTTTGTGTTTGTGTATTGTAAGTTTCGTAATATGTCAGAGTTTCTTACGTACCAGGGCGCGTCGGTGGCCGTGCGGAGGGCTATGTTTTCCACAGCCTGTAATAACTTTAAGTGGCTTTTTGCCGCGTGACGCCACGCCGTGGAGGCGTAGGTTAGCTGCGAAATGGGACACTAACGCCCTCTAATTTGGTAAGATATTTGTTTACATGCAGTTCGTACTCCTTGCTCCTTGTGCAGTCTCTATGTATGTGGTCATGGAGTCTAGTCTCTCTGCTTTTGGTGTTCACTGTTCAGTTCACTTTCACTATTCATGTTTCAGTTTGACATTTGACCGAACGCAGGAAGTTGAAATAAACATGTCGAAAAATAATACAATTGATGCTAGACAAGAACTAGCAGAATTAGTAAAAAGAAAATCAGAGATTGGTGTAAGTATTTTCAAATTGTAGGCTACAACTATACTGAAATTTTTCAAATACTTTTATGAATTTTATTTTAGGAAACTTTAGCGAATTTAGAAAAACAAATATATGCATTTGAAGGGTCCTACTTAGAGGACACACAGCTTTATGGTAATATTATTAGAGGGTGGGACAGGTATTTATCGAGTAACAAGACGACTAACTCCAAGGCTGATAAAAGAAACAGAAAATTTAAAGAAGCAGAACGACTTTTTTCAAAATCATCTATAACTTCTATGGCTGTAAGTATATTTAAATGTGCACAACTTTAAAAAAACCATACATTTAATAAGTAAGGAATTGAATATCAAAATGCACAAGTAATGCCACCACTTGAAGGCATATTATGCTTTATTGCTTCATTTTGAAATAACAGTTCCAGTTTGAATTGAAATATGTATTTAAGTATTTCATTGAAAATCAATATATATATATATCGACGTTCGCAAATAAGAACATCGTATCTCAATTTTTAGTAAAAATTAGTAAAGATTACTTTTCTATATAAGAAGGCCTTCTTTTTCAGCTAAAACCATGTATTCCAATTTATTTTGAAAAATATATTCAGTTTTTGAAAAAGTATTTTTATCGTATCTATTTTGTATAGAAATTTAACCTAAATATTATCGTAACAACAGTTACAATTTTGCTTATACAGTTTAAAATAAACATATTAATCGTATGTAGAGTTGCTCCTGGATTATAGCAAACATGCTTTTTAAAGAACATCGTATTTTTATATACGATTATATTGAAGGTGTAACAATTATTACACCGTTTTATTGCAAGTGAACATAAGATGTTAATACTTTTTTGAGAAGTATGTGGTATTTTCATCTTAACTTAACATACGATGTTATTACTTTTCTATTACTGCCGGTGGTGAGTGTATACAACTCTGTATCTTTAGATATGATATTCTAGGTTTCTTAGATATAGAGATAGTTACATCTCATCTCTACATAATATGTTAGTTACTTAAAAAATAGCAGATAGTTCCATCGTATCTTACTAAAGTTAATTTAAAAAGAAAAATAATAGTAATTTTCACTATACGTTTATAAGAAATTGTTTCTGTACCTCATATTTAGACTGTAACCAAATTTCATATGGTAACTTTGAAAAGATGTGTTGCAATTAAGAGAAAACCTCTAGAACTTTAAACCTACTTTGTGAGAAACCATCATTATCGAGTTACGATGTTCTTATTTGCGAACGTCGATATGTTCATTTAATCTTTCTTATTTTTTAACTGGCACACATATTCTTAATGTGATAGATAATGCAATGGCATGCAAAGATATATTCATTTTTAAAATTTTCCAGTGGCGTAGAAATTATATTAAAAATAGGGGTTATCAGAGCCCCCCTTAGGGACGCATATGATTGATCTATTTTCACAATAATTTGTAAAATCTATTGAGCTTTTCATTCGTACACTTCACATTAAATATAAAACAAATGGCTTTCATAGTTTAAGAAAAATAAATAAAAACCAAGAAATAAATGTTTTCTCAAGAGCATATATCTGAAAGGAAAGTGTATACTACAAAATTACATTATTTTAACGAGATTTATCGATGGTTAAAGTCCTAAACATAAAAAGTGAATCATTGTGTATGTATGTCTTAACCATACCAGATTGAGAAAAAATATATATTGGTATTATCCATGAAAAGGCTCAATAAAAATTTTGCTGGAAATATATTTTGCAAATAGTTAAGAGGTTAATGTTTATTATTACATTATATTAAAAATCAAAGTAAATTGGGATAGGAAAATAAAGCATTAAATATGCTGGCTATTTAGTTTAATTATATTTTGACCAAAATAATATTCTTAAATAATGGATTTAATAGATATTATCTTTTTTTCAGGCTGTGAGTGGAATAGTCGATCAGAATCCTGAAAAAAGTAAGAACTCTTACGATGTAGATAATAATAATCCATATGCATATAATAGTAGTTAGCTTTTATTTTTGTAGATTTTTGTGTAAGTAGTGTTATATTTATTAAAGAGAGTATATTTTATTTTTATATATTTGTTTTAATTTAGTTCTTTCATTTTATTTTATAGTTTTATTTAACACTCGTTTCTTTTTCTTATTTTAGCAATGTCTAGACAAACATGATTGGTATATCATTTATTAATATGGTGTAGTATTAATATTGTTGAATCTATATTTTGACTTAAATTTTAACATGCTTATACAGAGCCTTTATAAATTACTACAAGCCACGTAACGAGCAGTAATTTTGTTTGGCACAGTAATTTTATCCTTCACGTTGGCAAATAAATTTGGATAAAATTAAAAATTATTAAAACAATTAGATCAAGATCCGCGTTTTTTCAAGTGTACCCCCTTCCGCACAAGCCTTTGGCTTTTGGATTTGGGGGTTGTCTCATTTCTGTGGTGTGTTTTATGTTTTTTTTTAAGATTACGTTAAAACATAACATTTTATTTCACCAGCTGGTGGGATTCTATTCAACCAATTAGCATTATCTCGAGCGTAGACGTAACAGTTTGTCATTGTTCATCGTAAACGAATCATTAATATTGGTGATGCTGAGATTTAGGGATTTTCAGTTGGCAATACCAGTCGTGCAATGTCGATTGCCTAAGTTCGGCAGTCACGTGACTTGTAAACATTTATGAAGACTCCGTAGTTGATATAAACTTCTATTATCGGGCAGTAATTATATCCTGCAACAACTATTTAACATTCATTTTTTTTTATTGTAAATTGGTTAAAAAAGAAGAGGAAATATGAGTGATTTAATTGTCACTAGAACATACAGATGAAATCTATGACCCCTTGTGTATTTTGGGAAAGGGAGGAAATATTTCAGTGTAACTTTTTATATTTGAATATAATCATCCTTGTCAAGAGAATAATTTTAAATATTATACTTCAGAAACAATATTCACGCTAGTTTCTAGGAAAAATATGGAAACATTCAAAGAAACCTATCAGTGATACGAGATGCCTTTCATTTAAGAACTTTAAAATGGTTCACTTTGGTCTGTGTGTACAAGTTTCAGAGCTTTAACTAATTCGGGTATCACGTAAATCACTATAACAGTATTTTCTTTATTATATTTGGAGAAAAAATGTCTTAAGTTTTATTTTTAAATTCGGATTCTTCTTATATTTGACAAGGATTAGTAACATTTTTTAATTTGAATACGATGCATGTTTACCTTAGAATTCCTGATATACCTCTTCCTGAAGTTACCTGTTGTAATCTCCAAACCTGTGGATTAACATGAAAGTTCCAAAATTTATATGAAGGATTTTAGAATTATGTTTACTAAATACATACTTATTTCATTATTTTGGGGCATGAATGTACTGTAAGCAAGGCATGTCTTCAAGTGTATATTTTTTTATACTTTCAAAAATTTTTACCACATAATTTAATATAGCATTTGTCAATCTTTTAGAAACATTTTTTAGACAGATTTTTTTCCATTTACTAAACTGTTTTACTAAAATTAAAATAGTGTATTTATTTTGTGGAAAAGAATAATACATATTTAATATAGAAGATAAGAGATGTATTCATTATTTTCGCTGATTTTAAATTGTACTTTTATTATAAAAATATCAATTCGCAATATACAAGATGTACCATAAGTCTAGCTGTTGCCAGAAAAAAATAAGATTTTTTCTTATAAACTTGCGCCTATCGTATTTTATTTTCTTAAAATGAGATGCTAATATCTCCAAAAGTAATCTAAATATGTTATTGAAAGGAGAAGGGCCCCTAAGGCCGGTTTTTGGCCTAATTTATTTTTGGCTGAAAAAATCTGAAATTTTTTTTAGTACCTACTAGCAATACTGAATTGTTTCCACCCTAAATGGACCAACCCCCTCATCCTCCTTTCCCGCTCCACCCCCTTAAATGAGATGACACATTTACATTGAATAAAATGAAAAAAAAATCAATAATTATACATAATGTTTGTGCATATTTGATTAGCCACTTTGAATTTCATGATTCTGAATTCATAATTGTAATCAGTGATCCAAGAAAGTTTCTATAAACAAATAATTGAAGATTATGAAGATCTTTTTAATTTTTTTATCCGCCATATGGAATGTCATTTTGAATTTTATAATTCTGCCTTCAGATTCATAATCACAGACCCAAAAAACCCCACTACCTACACAAAAATTCATGCATTTTAGACATTTTAATTTTTTTTCCGCCATTTTGAATTTCGTGATTTAGAGTCGAGGTTCGTAATCATAGACCTAAAAAACCCCATTACAAAAAAATTCATGCATTTTGAAGACATTTCAATTTTCTTGTCCGCCATATTGGATCCGCCATTTTGAATTTCGTGATTCTGAGACCAGATTCGTGATCAGCGACCCAAAAAACTCTTCATATGTAAGATTCATAAGAATTGAATGTGTCTCGCATCTCTAAGCTCTTTAAAGATTCCTCTAATAAGCGATGGTTTCCCCGGCATTTAAGGGGGTGAGGGGGTTGGTCCGTTTAGGGTGGAAATGATTCAGTATTGCTAGTAGGTACTAACAAAATTTTTTTTAGATTTTTTCAGCCAAAAATAAATTAGGCCTAAAACCGGTCTTAGGGACCCTCCTCCTTTGGCGGGCATATATTTTGATAACTTCTAAATAACTTGTAGCTATTACTTTTTAAATGAGTTATACAAGGTGTTTGTTGTAGTGCAAACCAAAAATATTTTTTTTTAGATTACAACTCTTGTAGTTCAAATTTTGGGGTCCTAAATTTAATTTTTTTATATACTTTTTTAATTCTATGCCAAAATGTCCTCTTATCAAAATTCGTGAAACTATTTTGTCATGTAAATTACATATATTTTGTAATTATTTTAACATGTAATATTATTTTATTGTATACCAGAACAAAAAACTTATGGGAACCGTATTTAAACAAATAACTTTAACCTCCTTTAATGAAAATAAAAAATATAGTTCATAAGAAAAAAATTTCTTATGTTTTGGTGTTCAGTTGTGTATTTATGGTACATTACTCTGAAACATGCCATTTTTATAAATGAATATCTTTTTTAATTTTGATCATACTATAAATATTATGAAAAAATATATTTTCAGATAGTGAATAGACAAATAAATTTTTAGTAGAATGTTCTTGATAGATAAAATGTTATTTACATTTTTGTGACAGTATTGCTATTAAAATATGTACTTCCAAATACTTTTCTATCGAATGAAGTTGCATGTATAAGCGTGTAGGTACCTCAACAGAAAAATTTGCAGGTAATACAAAATTTGATTCATAAAAGCTATTTTGACAAATTTCAAACAAGACATAATATTTTTATACAATCTTATCATTTACAGAGAACGGATTTATTGATCATGTAAAATATGTAAAATAAGGATGTTTTTCTGTGAAGGTATAATATTTTGCCTAAAGTTCTTCAAAACCGGTTAATAAATTTCTTATTTCACAGTTGACAGACAAAGTGAATCAGAATCTCCAACTAATGAAGATTCTAGTGACACAAATATTGGTATTATTAGTAATCACATTGACTCAGGAGTAAAAACAGCTGGAAAACAGCATGCAAATGCAAATTCTTTTACAAATGGAACTCAAAATGGTATAGATCGAGGTAGTCCCATTCCTGATCTTTCTGCGAAACAGAAAAACTTTGTGTCCAATGCGAAGAAAAATAATAACAAAAAAGCTAGGCATAGGTAACAAAATGAGTTTTTAAATAAAATAATTTAACGTTCAGTATTTTATAATGTAATTCACTGGAAATAATCTTCGTAAGTTTTATACAAATTATTTTGTGACTATCTCTATTATTGAAATAGATTATGGAAATGTACAAAATGTGATCTATTTAATTTAGTTAGCTTATTTAAAGTACAATAAAATTAAGTTACTGTATTATTATTTATTTGTGTCCTTTAATATACTTTAAATAAAAAATTGGGGCGGGTATTAAAAAATGTTTAATATTTAATTACTTGTAAAATTAAGCAAACGTGAACTGTTCTTATAATTGTATTATAAAAATTGTATGAAAGATATTTAAAAATATATTACATTTTATTTACACTATAGTATATAGTTTTGTAAAAGTATTAATTATTTTCCATTATTAATAATAAGATATAACTGCAATGTTGAATGAGGAATGGTTCAATAAAAATAAAAATGTCATTGAAAACTATAGTCCTTGATAATAAGAATTAATACATTTAAAATTTATTTAATGTCTTAGAAGTTCTAGAAATCTAAACATTTTTCTGAACAACTGTTAAATTATTGACTTCATTTAAAGATGATTGTTGTTATGTTAACGAAAATATTTGTATGGACCGGATGTAATGAAAATCTCTACATTTTTATTAATATTTAAAATAGTATTTGCCAATGATTTATGCAATTTTTTGTACTATTTTAATATCAGATAGATTGTAACTAAACTAAAGAGATTGAGCAACATATCTATCCATTTTCTTTTCATTCATGTAATTGTAGAAAACATTAAATTAAATACCTTATTTATGCAATGAAATCTTAAATATTGCATAAAAGCTTCAGTCTTAAATACTTGGATGAAAAAATAGCTCTTAAAATCTGTTAACAGATTCTGCAAATCTAGATTCTAAAATGAAACAAAAATTAGCATATTTTTTAGTAAAATGCAAGACACTTACGTTGAATAATTATCGGAGCCTTTTTCTCACCACAAAACTGAACAACGATATATAATAGAACCGTTATTATCAAAACGCTTGAAGTAGAAACTATAAATACATATTCATTGTGTCTTCTAAATTTACAACAGTTAACACTCCAGGAATTCCATGTGCCATTCATCTGAAATATTGTAAATAATAATTCAATTAATAATTCTTTAACACAATCAAATATTTTTTTCAAAATATTTATTGCTCTTACTAAATCCTCCAAGTCGATACAAACTCCAATTCTTTCATTCGCGTTACTAATGCTTCCATAAAAATTACTTAAAATAATATAATCATCCATGCAGTGACTACACAAAGCCTCAGCATCTGTATTTACAGTACAATTACTAAAGCTATTGTAGTAATTGTGAAATGTTTTTGCCATTTTTGACTCTGTACGAGTTTGGGTTCCATTTTCAACTACATAACATTCTAAATACAAAAAAAATATATTAAATTTTAATATCAAGTAATTTCAAATTTATTACCGTAACATTTTGCTCGATTCCAAAGATTAATAGAATTAGAATATTGTGTTTCTAAAACTTGTAACCTATCTAAATTTATATAGTAGTGAAGACATTCTGTTCCATTTACGGATACCTAAAATAAACACAGCGCTAGTTACTTATTTGGAAACAGGTACCTTGGATCGTATAATGGAAAATTTGTAAATAAAATTTTAATCTGTTGAGAATTGATGAATACTAGACATAACTAGACAGTCCGGGATTACAATGTAGGGAACAGTCCGTAAGACAGACATAGGACAGCTATTTTTGCGAATGTTGAACTAAAAGGTAAAACTCAGGCGAAGCACGTGAGGAGCCCTTTCCATAGAAAATTCTGTATTCAGTGATAACTCTAAGCAACTTATTTCACTTATGATTTTAAATCTAAATGTAATCTAAAGATCGTCAGAGAAATAACTTGACTTTTGTTATATAGAATTGCTCTAAACATATATTTCTTACTCGTTACAATAGGCTATGTAATTCCAGATATGATAACTCTATAATATATTCTGGTGGTTTAGTAGAATAAACATAATAAATTGAAAGTGTTGTACCTTCATGCTAATTAAGTTTTACCTTCGACAAATTTTTGTAACTCTCCAATAGGTCGACATAAACATCAATACAACTTTTGCATAACGTTATGGGTCTGGAATAATTAATAGAGCACTTAGTAAATTCTGAAACAGTTTTAGCAAAATTATCTTTTACGGTTGTGCAATCTTCAAAGACATCACTGTCAATTTCTGAAGTATTGGACATCCTAAAAATTAGAAATAACTATATTTGTAGAAAATTAAAAAGGGAGACGATACGTACGAATTTTTAATGAATAATAAACTAAAAATTAGTAGGTATTTGTACATTTTAATTAATTATTATATTTCTACATATTCTTTAAAATTTATCTAAGAATATATTTTTATCTTTGTTGTTTATTATCAAACTTAAAACTTAACCATAATTCTTAAAATTCTTTGATGACAAATTGACAAATGACATTTATGACAATTCATATCCAATCCACACAGCTAAAATCTATTATGGTTTGTTGTGGCGTTGTGGCTAATGGCTGATTTACATTTTGTGAACTAACAAGTGCAGGTGAGAAGTGATTAGTTAACATGTTTTTATGGTGTTAAGTGTTAAGTGTAAACAAAATGTTTACACAGTGGTAAGTGCTTCTTACAAGTCCAAAGTGTCGGTACAGAATCACGGCGTGGGGTCACGCGGCAAAAAGTCACTTAATGTCATTACAGGCTGTGGAAAACATAGCCCTCCGCACGGCCACCGACGCGCCCTGGTACGTAAGAAACACTGACATATTACGAGACTTACAATACACAAACGCTACACAGACAATAAGACAAAACGCGGAGAAACGATTTGACGTAGCCGCTAGACATGACAATCCCCTCCTCAGGCAAGCCGTTGACTACGTACCCGACGTGACCGACAAACACAAAAGACCTAGACACCAACTTTTTGACCCTGGGTGACCACCCCAATGCCCCCCCCCCTGCCCGCTAACCTTTTCTGTTTCAGAGACAGCCAGGATCAAGAAACGAAGACAACGACACACACACACACACATACACACCCCCCATACCCTCCTTAACCCTCCCCTCCCGCGCTAGCCTAAGGGCCACCTTAGCAAAGCGCATCCCAGGCTGCATAGCCGCACTACCCTACCCAACCATACCACACATAAACATGACACTACCCCCGGGGTTTACACAGACGAGCCGGCGAAGCAAGAAGAGCGCCAGAAGAAAGGGCCCTAGCCGGCGGGGCCCAGCCAGGACAAAAGGAGGTCCCACAAAGCGCCTACACCGGCCGCATTTGCGGTCGGGGTAGACGACGGATGGGGCCCACCTACGAAGGCTGTCCAGGCCTACACGAGATGAGGCAGGATAAAGAGGGATAATCCCCCTCGATCCCAAATCATTGAGGCCAATTTCTAGCCATAGAATAATGGCGAACTGAATTTTGTAATTCAATGCGAATGACGGAAGATAAATTTAATGAGTTACTGACTATTGTTGGACCAACTATAGCAAAATCGAATACATTTATGAGAAGTGCATTATCTTCAAAAATTAAACTACAAATATTTCTGTATAAGATTAATACTGGATGCAGCTTATGCACTCTTTCGCATCTTTTTCGTTAGAGTATCCAAAGCAGCTATATCGTTGATGATTCCTAAAATCTGTGATGCTATATATAGTTCTTCAGTCCATTTCATGATAGGAAATATCGTCCGTACTTATGTACTTGTCAAAAATAACGGCTTGTCAAACAGTTAAATAGTGTAGTTCGGGCGGGCCACGTTTGAGCGGCGGCGGCGCTACGATTGCAGGAGTACGCGGGTGTGCGGGGTTAGCTACTTAACAGAGAAAATAGACCGTGCTTCTATTCACTTTACTTTGCACTCGCACTTCGCACTTGCACTAATCAGTTAACAGCGTGAGCGTTTACACTTTGATTTTACTTATCACTTAACACCTGCACTTGCTACTTAACAAAATGTAAATGAGCCATAAAATATCGAGTTTTGTTCGTTGCTTCACATATCGATACTTTAAAATTTTGATACGTATAACAATCGTTAATCCCTAAATTGAATTGACGTAGACGTATTGACATTGACGGCTTGACTTGACCCGAAATTAACCTCAAATCAAAATAATAGAAAGTTTTATTTGTGTTTATTGACGAAGTCACAAAATATATCAATACAACAAAAATGAAAAATAATTTATTGCGTGTTACACAAATGAATGCAGTTTATTTAGATGAGGAAATTTATAAAGCTTTCCGACTGCTTTTAGATCAAGCCACTCGTTACTTGCCTGTAAGTAAAAAAAAATGGATTATATATTTATTTACTTATAAATTTTAGCCCGGACTTACTGCGCCGTATGAGTCTGAAATAAATTTATTTCTTCGTTTAGCTATAATAAAATATTCTATATTCAGCAATTGTAATACATTTGGACAACAGTTGTTATCAATCAAATATGAAAATCTGTCATATACTAAGAAAGTATTATATATGATTGGTTGTTGTTTAGATTATATAAAAGTTAAATTGGAGTTGTGGAAACCATCCCATGAAATAAACAATACCATTTCTAATATATATACTTTCATTAAACTTTTCGATTTTATTAATTTATCTGTGTTTTTACGAAATGGTGTAAAACCTTTGCTTATTGAACGGATTTTAGGATTAACACAAGTATATGTGTCTGACATTGGTCAGCGTCAATACGAATCAAAGTATTTAGCAAGAGAATTATTGTGGAATAGTTTTATCGTAAGTAGAACATGTTCCTATTAAATACATTTTACAAAAATAGTGTTGCAGGAAATTTTAGTGTATATCTTACCCCTTATAAATTATCATAAAATGAAAAGAACATTGAGGAATTACAATCTTCTACGTAGAAAACCTATTTATACTGTTATGTCTAATAGGGTAATAACGATGCATTCGAAATGTGCATATTGTGGAGAAAATCCAATTTTACCCCATCATATGGGTTGCGCACATATTTTCTGTTATGTTTGTTTAACGGTAAGTTACTAATGAAATTGATATTTCATTTATTAAATTAAAAAATGTGTATATAAAGTTTGATGAAGGCCAGTTTTGCTTCTGTGTGTAAATCTGTAAAAAATTGTTTATTTATTAGGTATTTTTATCAATAGACATGTTCTGCTTAAGAGAATATCCAGAATCCAGAAAACTTACTGTGTTTGGAAGATACCTAATACTTAATACGATTAAAATTTCTGTATAATATTTCTACCTTTGAATACAATTCATACATGAGTATTATTTAATAAATTGCAGATTTTTGTAGTATGGATTGTTTTGTGTTTAAAGGTGTGATGTACTGAATGTCATATTCTCGCTTCATTTATAATTGAAAATTTGTTTATTTTAAATAATTTTTTAGGGCAATCAAACAGCAGATTCCAGATATGAATGTCCCTTGTGCGAACACAGAAATCCAAATATTTTGTGTGATAGGGTGGCAGTACTGTGATATTATTTTTTATTTTGTTATCTTTTATATTGAGTTTTACATGAATTAATTAAAAGAAACTATTTTACAAGGAATATTTTGTTGTTTTAATGAGCAGAATATTAATTTTAATTTTAAATTTACGTATTCATAGATGCGTTATTTCCAATCCAACATTTTTGAATATACAGTATGTCCGCGGATTGAGTTTACAAGCGGACAAATGGGCCAAAAAGTGAAAGATACGAAAAAAATGCATTCTTGATAAAAGTTTTTGCTTGTTTAGAAAATACGAATCACCATGACGAATTTCATTTTTGTTGTACAGGGTGGGTCAAAAACAAAAAAGTTATTTTGCTTAAGAGTAAACATACCTTATTTTGCAAGCTACGAAAAAAGACATTCTTGATAAAAGTTTTTGCTTGTTTAGAAAATACGAATCACCATGTCGAACTTCAATTTGGTTGTACAGGGTGGGTCAAAAACAAAAAAATGTTATTTTGCTTAAAAGTAAACATACTTTATTTTGCAAGATACAAATAAAGCATTGTTAATAAAAGTTTTTCTTGAAATAATGAATAAGAGTCGATATCTGTCCATGCAACACTCTTACAATAACACCTGCAATATATCGTACTTAGAAATGTTTGTTACATTTTTTAGCGATGAACTCGAACATTTACCTACCATTAAATTTTCGCCAAAAAATGTATTTTCAAGAGGATGGTTGTCCAGCACATTGTGTTCGTGAGGTAATAGAAGAATTAGACAGAATTATCCAGGCTGTCCGTTCAAGATCTCAGGAAGAAATTCCTTCTGATATTTAAGGAAGCAATTAGAATAATGTATTCAATATGGGGGTTGTGTTTCTGAAATTTGGTATCTTCATCATATTGCTTTGTTTACTTTTTTTTAGCTTAATTCTAATTATGTTCGTATTATTTAAAAACACTTTAAGATGTATTTTAGTTTTGTACTTTATTCCCTGTATAAAAAATTAAATTTTTGTTAACATGACATTCATTTCTCAAGCTAAAACTTTTATAAAGAATACCTTTTTTCGTATCTTGCAAAATAAGGTATGTTTACTTTTACGCACAATAAAATTTTTTTGTTTTTGACCCACCCTGTACAACAAAATTGAAGTTTGTTGTGGTGATTCGTATTTTCTAACTAAACAAAAACTTTTATCAAGAATACCTTTTTTTCGTATCTTTCACTTTTTGGTCCATTTGTTCTCTTGTAAACTCAATCCGCGGACATACTGTATATTATTTTCGATGGCACAGCTACATATTTGTACACAGGGTTTTACAAAAATGTGGGTTAAGTCATTCATCATAGATACCTAGGGTTACCAGATCTATTTCATGACATACCCGGAGATATGACCGTACGGGGTTTGGGTTTAAAGAAATCGATGTAAAAAAAAGGAAATATCTAGTTCGTGACCCAGAGACATGGATGATTTCGACGGGGCGTTGTATAATTGATGTTTAAAAAGAGCTCGAAGATGTACCATCAAAACCCGAAGACTCCGGGTCAAACCCGGAGATCTGGCAACCGTATAGATACCTATTTTTTATTTTTTGGGTGTTTCTGATTTAAGGTCCAGAGTGACAAAGTTACAATTTAAAAATGGAATTCTAATAACGTTACTATTTTGGAGTACCAGTGGAGGCAAGGAGGGATTTAGTATTCATTAATGATTTTTGTCTTTTTTTGTTTTCACGTTTGTAATAGTATATTATGTAACAAGTGTTGTAAAAAGCATTTTATGCACGAATGGAAAAGTTACGCACGACATAAAAACACAACGTCTGCGATCAATATAAGATACCTATTATGTACGGTAAAAAAATCGCACAGCTTGGTAAAAAAATCGTACAGTTTTCCTAGCAACTGCCTAGCAACGGTCAATACAATACTGTTTGTATTGACCGTTGACCAAGCTGTGCAATTTTTTTACCGTACGTAATAGGATTCTTACATTGATCGCAGACGGTGTGTTTTTAAGTATTTATAGTAGTGGTCGTAGGTAAAGACTTTAATTTGGGACTTGGTTTACGAGATATTGTAACTTCTTTAACCAAATTGCTGTTTACTTTCCCAACTTATCTCAAGGGACTAAGTTTTACAAAAAAAATGTTTGCATGGTACTGAATCAGATATATTTCTATACCTATAATGTGTAACAGCAAATTGAATTTTTAAAAAATTGTTCATTATTTACTTTCATCCCTGGTGGTGATTTTGTTGAAAAAGTTCTGGTCAACTTCCAAGTTGTCCAACAAGTCACGACAAGCAGTGACACAAGCCGCCTTTTGATCAGATGTCAACAAGCATTGGATGAATTTTGATGCGATTCGTCTCATTTGTATATCTTCGGCTAAAATCTGTTGCAATGAGCTTCACGAAAGGCCAGATAATTGAGCAAGTACATCAATAATATGCCTTCCATCTTTGTACATGAGTGCACAAATTTTTCCTATGTTTCTATCAGTTCTGGACGTGGACGGCCGACCCGGGCGTTGAGTGTCTGATCAACATGTCACCACGTATGAATTGGGAATACCACTCGTACACTCCTTTGGAGACATATTCTTTACAAGCAGAACACAAAATTTCAATGTCAAATATTAACTGTATTAAAATATCAAAGAGGTCAAAATAGCCATTGCACGAAAACTGACTCAGGAGCTCGCTACAACCGTTTCAAGTAACACCACTTGGCAGATTGACTCAGGAGTTACGTAACACAACATCTAGTGGGTGAACTACAGCAGCACGCGCAGTGAATTTCGTCCGGTTATTTTTGGGGCCCTCCTCGAATATAACCACAAAAAACTGTGTGCCAGTTGCAAGCATGTACCCAAGCAGTTCGCCAAACAGTTCTTTTTTTGAATCTTCATCAGAGACACTCAGTCCTGTAAAGCAGTGTTTTTCAACGTGTGGATCGCGAAGTCTCTTTAAGGGGGTCGCAGTTTGTTTTAGAGGCTTTTAAAGTAAAAAAAAAACATTCTAGTTCAAAATGTTATATTTATTAAGAAACGGTTAATTAAAGAGATCACTCATTCACTCGACTTTCATGCTTGCTGTACTTGCGAGGCGGTATCACATCGGCTACTTGCACGCACGTGCGTTATCTCTATTGTTGTATTGCTTTTCCGTGGAGGCGGTTGGCGACCCAGTCGATGTAAAACATCTGTTTTAGGTACTTAAGTACATATTTAGACGATACCTAATTATTATGAAACTAAGTAAAAATTATGTACGGATTCGATATTTATAACATAAAAAAATACAAGTTAGAAAAAGCAGAGGGTAGGGGTTGCGAAATATTTTTCCATATTAAGGAGACAGCGACATGAAAAATGTTGAAAAACACTGTTGTAAAGTACTAAAAATTTTGTGGCTAATATCTTGACTCTTTTTTTTATAAGATCCTGTATATTCAGGGTAAAATTTTTTTGTAGAAAAAAAAAATAAAATGACAGTTGTACTACAATTTTATTATATAAAAAACATTCAAAAACAAATATGTACCACACAGTTTTTTACAAAAACTGCTAAGCATTTGTATATGTGTATGTAAAATGTAAACAATTAAATGCTTTCTCAATGAATACTGAAATAATCTATTCTATTAAAATCTATAAAATTAAAAAAACTCTAAAAGACAATTTCAAACCTCCAGTAACTCTTAAAATTATTTAAAAAATCAAAACATCACTATCAACAATCTTTAAACAAAGCATTAGGTATATTTTCCTTTGTCTTGGACATTGTGCTGTATCCTAGCAGTTCCGGACAAGATTTGTTGCCTTGTTGAATGTCTTTGATTGTCTTCAGAAGATCATAGTTTATTCGCTCTGTGACTTTTGAATCCTGCCTAAAAACAAATTATATCAGTCGCCCCCGTAAAAAAATTAAGGGGGAATATCCCAGTAGAAAAAATGTTTTCTCGTTCATCTTAAAAGTTTCTAGTCTTAAGAATATTGTTGTGTAAATTTCATATTGAAATTCCAATACTGGTGGAAGTTATGGGCAATTACCGTCGCAGTCTAAACTCACAATGCGGCCCGTGAAGGAAGGATTGCTGAACATGCTGCCGGTGCTGCGGAGGGCCTACTATATTTTCCAGGAATCGCAGATTAACGGTAAAGTAAATTAAAAGTTTTCTCAAGATAATATACAGGGTGTAACCTTGAGTGTGGATCATATTTATACAGAGGTTTCCTTTGACCTTTTGAAAAATTGTTTATTTTGTCAAATTCCGTCGTAAAATCTAATTTCATTTTTTAGGAATTTTCTAACCCCGCTACTGGACAAGTTAGTATAACCTCAAATAATGCCACACCACATCACTCGCTGCGAAAACGAGAGGATGTTCGCCACACAAACCAAGTAACTTGGCAAAAAACTCAGGCAATAATTAATAATGATAAATGAAATACATAAAAAAATAGTCACATGAATTTTATAACATTTCTCTCAATTTTTTCCCATCCAATATTGTATTGGCATTCAATGCGTGCATTATCTCTTAAATGTGTAGCCTGCCACTTATTATTATCTGGATTTCAGGATACGGAGTTCGTTTGAAATTTAATAATGGATTGATTTCTGTTAAAATATAACCTCAAATTCACAGTTAGATGTACTGTCTACAAATGCGGAACAACAACTGACCCCTTCGCTTCGTCACTGTTGACCTACACCATCTCCCGCCGCATGCACTGTGGGTTGCTAACAATTCATATATTTGTAATATATGAACAGTGGCGGCATACACAAGAATAAAAGTGCATTTTAAAAAACTAATTATAACTCGATTATTTGATTAAAAAAAAAAGAATCTCAGATTCGTATTCAGGGGAACATGTACCCTTCAAAAACTGACCCACACTTAAACACACCCTGTATGTTATGTAAATTTTTACATGAATTTTTACAAAAATCAAAGTTTAGAATATGAAGAATGTGCAAATCTTATCTTGATATTCTAAGAACTGTAAAAGTTATGGGCCATTTACTGAAAAGCTGACGAGCGACCAAATTCCCAAGCCCGTCAGTTCTTTGCCAAACTTCAAACACGATTATCTTGAAACATACTATTCAGACGGTTTCCAAAATATTCTGAAAACGACTGATTACTTCCAAAATCAGACACAATATTTTCAAATAGGTTATCTAGTTTGGGACGTAGGATTTTTTTTCACTTGATTATTTTTTTTTTTAACCAAGCCAGAAAATTCAGAAATTTAGGTTGAAAATTGAAGTCCAATCGGCTGCAAAATCCTACGATGCGAATACATTACATTTTGAGAATTTTTTTGAAATAGAGCTGTTCACTATAAAAACAAGCCATATACATATTGTTGTCGAGTCAAAGATTTTATATAAAAGAACCTGCCTGTATAGTCAAATTTTAAATATATGACAAATTAGTGGTAGAAATCATTTATGAATTTTTGCGTTACTTAAAAACTAGTCTGACGTCATAAGGGGCAATTGAACAAGCTAGTAGCGATCATATTGCATAATTTTGAAGAAGAAAATATGTCAAAATTGTTCATCAAACCCTGATGCCCTGTTTCCTGTTTTTTAAACATAAGTGACAGTAGTGACACTAGTGACAGCAGTCTATCAATTAAGAGTATTTGTGATAGTTATTATTAATTTCCCGATTGTAATGGATTCAACAAAATTTAAGTGGTGTTTTGTTCCACATTCCATATTCCACATAGCCAATTGCGTTATCTCCATAAGACTCCCGAACTGCACTATAAATTTCCATAAATAAATAGGTATTTTATATAAATAAACACAATAAAATCATTAAAATATGTTGATCCTCATCTGACTGCTTTTATACCTCTGATTTCACCAATATTAAAACGCTCGTCTCTTTTTAAAAAATCAATTCATGATCATAAAAATATCAATTTTCGGTAAAATTAGCTTTCACAAATCAGGATTCACACATTCTGCTTTAATTATAAGGGAAGATATTAAATGATTATTACTAAATAATAGTTTTACTTAACTAATTACTTAACTTAATTCCTTTACTTAATAAAGGAATTTGAAGATTAAGGAAAATAACTCATAGACTTGAAAATATTTTATACGACAGTGTCACTGACAGACTAACACTACTGTCAGTGTTGACAGAGCGTCTTTTTCCAATGTTTTTCCTTTACGCAATCATTTACACATAATTTCACTACAAGGTGCCCCTTATGACGTCACAGGCGTTTTGAAATGTTATAAAAAAATCAGTTTTAAATAATTATTTTAAAACTGTTCTGACGCATATCTCAATCTCTAATTATATATACATACTAGTTAGTACGTGTAGAATTATATTATCTACTATTTGAAATTTGGTCAACAACCCTATTACAGTAAAGCTCGGTTACAATGTACACGCTTATTACCTACTTATGGTTATAACGTACAGAACAAACAAGTCCCGGCATTATTATAGATATTCAATGGTTAATTATTTTGTTAAAAGGTACTTCTGATATAAAGTACCAAAATACCTGGTCCCAGTGTCTAAAAATTTCATTACAATGTACTCTTTATACACATGTTGATACAAAGCAGTTGTCTAAAGTTATTTTAACTTTTAACCATTCTTTATTCAGTTTTCTTGTTGACATCGTACAGTACGTATCTAAGCGCAATCGAAATTTTGAATACTGCTAAGTATGGATGATTTAACCCAAGCTGGTCCTAGTAAAATGGCTCGGAAGGTTTTAACAATAGATGAAAAAATTTCTATAATTCAGGAAATAGAAAGAGGTGTTAAACAAGTTGACATCTGCAAATCTAGATATATGAAAAAAACAACAGTGTCCACGATATTGAAAAACAAACATAAAATACAGTATAGACGCGCTTGAATCCGAACTAATTAAAACACGGGCTTAAAGAGATAAGTTCGAATTACCGATATTTTCGGGTTACTGGATAGTAAAAATGTACATATTATTATGTAAATATGTTTATGTGCATACATGTAATATGAATTAAATTTTATGTGTTACTGAGAAGACAAAAAATAACAATAAAACCAAACATTATCGTAAAATATGTCGTATAAATATCAACATGTTTGCATGGCAATAATATTTTAACTAAAAAGATATAATTGAGAAAGGTTCCGACTCATAAAAGTGTTTCCCCGAGACTGCCGGGGAATTACGTTTTTAGCGGTTACTTTTTATTATGTAGTCTGACTTTATAATACGAACTATATACGTTAAACCGAATTTTGTTCGAATTAAAGAGTTTGATGAAGTAATTAGAGGAATAAAAAAATTTAAACGATTTTTAGAAAGTAAAATTAATACTGAAGATCGGATTTTAAGTGCATCGCTGGAAATAAAAATGTATTTAGAGCAACAGATCCTTATAAATCGCAAAAAATTAACTCATATAACAGACTTTTTGGAAAGTAGTTTTAGATATATAAAGTGTTTTTAGTTTTGCTTTTAAGTTTTAAGAAAAAAATCCTTATATACTGTTATTCTATTGCTGCTTTTGTTAAATATATGTACGTTTATATTTTTGTTAAGAATTAATAAAATTCTTAATAATTTTTTTAAAACGTACTTCTGATATAACATCCTGCTGGTACGTTATAACGGAGCTTTACTGTATTTCAGATCAACTGAGTGTTGTAATCTGGCGAACTGCAGATCGTGCGAGCAAGGGACATTTTTACACCGATCACAACAGCAGCACTCCGTCGAAATATATTTATAAAAAAATTTGTCAGCGTACCTCAACATGTATAATTTTGAATAAAACAAACCTATTCACTTATTTTTTTCGCTGTCTACTCAGATGTTCCCCCTTAATGAAAGTTTTAGTCTTACAAGAAGAGAAACAATTAGCATGTAAAATTTCTAACACTTACTTATATTCTGGATGTTTTGTGACAAAGTTTCTTATCCAAGATGCAGTGGTAAGAATTTCTCCCGATGCCCGGCGTTGTATAAATTTAAGATACTGTTGTATGGTACAGTGTGTATCTGCATCAACATCCATGCCGCTTAAGTAACTGTTTATAAGTGGAATAAGTCCAGGAAATTCACCTTCCTGTGAAAGATGTGTCAATGGAGACATTTTTTACAGAGTTTAAATCAATATAAGCTTTAAGGTAAGGTTTGGTAAGGTTTTTGTTATAGTAATATATACCTTTCCATTGATGATTTCATTTATGGTCATAAGTCCAAACATATCACAGTCTTTGGGTTCACAATTCATTGTTCCCTTTTTGCAACATTCATTGGCCTCAGGAGGGCTAATGTGAGTTGTAATATCCTTTCTAAACCAGAATTTTTCTTCCCTTGCAGCATTTCTTTTTTGAGCCTTTTGCATGTTTTCATCAACCTAAAACAATGTATGTTACCATTAAGGGGTTACACCATTGTAGAATTTTCAAAAAATCTTTTTTTTTTTTTGCTTAAAAGGTAGTTTGAACCTTCTAGATCTAGAATATGAGGCAAAAGGTTTTATACATGAAAATTTTTTTTTTTATTTTGCGCTTTTCCTGAAATGTGTCAGGCGTTTCTCTAACGCTACCTGCGCTATGAATATACTCACTCGGAAGGTACCATGTACCTTCTCACCTATTGATTTATAACTTCTCTAAAACATTCATAGATGTCGTTAGGGAGTATGCGTCTACAATTTAAGCAAAATTTTCAAACCATAAATAACTCATTTTAAAACTTTAAACCCATTTTTCTCGAAACACGCTTTTCAAAACGGCACGCACCATAACTCCAACAATTTTCAATATTTTCTTTTGAAATTTTAACCACATATTTAAAACAACATTTTGAAGAGAAACATGTACGGATTTTTCGATAAGTTAATTCAAACAATTGTTATAAACAAATAATAATTTTTTGATATTCAATTTTGTATAGGGTGTTACCTGCATTATATTTGAACAGAACACTTTTTCAGGATTGCAATGATATAAGACTTAATGGGTCTCCCACTAATGATAAGGAAGATAGGGGTCATTAAAATATGCCATAAATATATCACTTTGTAAAGACTATATCTTTGTTACCTTATATTATAAACGATTAAAGTTATTTATTACAGCTCAGATAACATGAGGCGGTGAAATTACAAATAGAGATACATATTAATTAATTTTTAGTTTAAAATCCCTGACTTCCAGGGTCCAAAATAAAATTTCCCGACTTTTTAGGTTTTCCAGAGTGGGTAGACACCCTGTACAAAACAAATTGAGATGTATGGAAATGTGGTATATTTAGTAAAGTAAGGATTGGTTTGGAGATTGAAAATAAAACAGAAAATTAATGTAATAAATTGGCGCACGAACGTGAGGCTCTTCGAATTTAGAAGAAGCATTTGAGATTTAGAAGAAAATATTGAAAATATAAAAGGAAAATCTGCTGAAAATGGATCTGAGAAGTGGAACGAGCACAAGAAGGGAAGATGAAGAAATTGGTTATGAAGAAGAAGAAGACAGGACCATAGAAGTCGAAAGTAGCATATCTCCTTGAAATGTTTAAGGAAATGGAGAAAAAGAACAGGAAAGAAAGTATCAAGAAAATAAGAGAATGGAAAAGGAAGAGCAGGAAAAAGTGAGATAACTGGAAAAAGAGGAGCAGGAAAAGATGCGAAAATTGGATAAGGAAGAGTTGAAACAAGTAATTGCGGAGAACATAGAAAACATAAAAACAGCATTGGAAAGAAAATTAGAAGAAATTAAACAGGAATTAAACAAGGAGCAAGAAAAAGGTGAAATAGAAGAGAGAATAAATACAATTGAGCAGAAAACTACTGAGTTAGAAGAAAACCATAAGACTAGGGAAAACCAATACAATAATAGAATAGTACAAATATGGGAAAATTTTGAGAAGATGGAACAAACGTCACAAAAGAAAAATGAGGAAATCGGACAAGAAATTAATTGTTTGGAAAAGAAAATTGAAGGAAGGAAATAATTAATCAAAAAGTTGAGATAAAACGAAGAAAAGATAATTTATATATTACAAAGTCCATAAATAACTAAAGAAGACAAAGAGCGAGAATAAGAAATAAACAGGAATAGAAAACTCATTGACAAGTACATACTAATATATAAATATTTCCCAAATGGTAGGATATCCTTTTGGAGGACCCAATACAAGATAACACACCGTATACCAGACGTAACAGAGGAGCAGACAGAAATTAGATTTATTCTTGTAGAAGAGCAGTAGAATCAGTTAGGTACAAGAATTGCAGTTGGAAATATGAAAACGAGGCAGGATCATCAAAGTTAAACGAAAAGGAGCAGATCTGTGTCAAAAACTGGAAACTAGTTGTGAGAGATTTAGTATATAGTTGTAAATAGAAATAAGTAATTTAGTTAATTTTACTGGCGTAGGTTACGTAGGGAAAAATATAAATCCATCTAAATTGTGTCCAAGAAAATGTCAATTTAACTTAATATAATTTTTCTTTGAAAATCAGGATTTCATTAATTTATTTAGAGTTTGACAAAATTAAAATTTTATTGGAATCATTAAAAAAAAACAAAAGGTCAGTGTTTGTACGCGGGAGCGCAAATGGCTCCATCTGTCGTGTTGACTCTCAACTGTGCCATTCAGATGGCTACAGTAGGAAGCGACCTGCTATATCGCAGGTACTTGTTGCACGACTGCCAAATTATAATCGCAACACCTAGTGCATTAGCTAGGGTTGTTTGTCAGTTTAACCCATCAGGCACAGACCGGTTTCGGACTTATTAGTCCTCATCAGTGAGACAAAAGAAAAAAGGTCAGTGTTTGTTTCTTCTAAAGAACCACCCCTGGAGGGAGAGAGCTTGTGCTACAGCAAACAGGAAAAATATTAATTTAAAATTTATTTTTTTGAAGGATTTGATTTTCAATTTCAAAATCAGTAAATTTTTGTATTACTCAGATTTTAATTTGAGACTAATTTTTGTTTTGAAAAAAATAAATAAATAAATTTTTACTTGAGACTGGCGTCTACATTTTAAGTAATTGGAGGTAAGTAGATTTTCCTGTCGACTATCTGAGGTATCTGAAGGTACATAAACATAAAGTATATACATAAATAAAGTATATAACATAAATTACATAACAATATGTACACATTTAAGATTCACCCTATATAGAATTTAAGTGATTTCATTTATGGAAATGATTCTACTGTAGTGAAAGTAAATTACTCTTATCTTTGCAATTAGCACTTTAGCAATATATTTCTACCACTTGATGAAGCCACATTTATTATTTTATCTGATTAGTTAGTACTCAATTTGGAACAATGTTTTACGTTATGTAATTACATGTGCCAAACTCATAATAAATATTAAGATTAAATACGGATGTCCTTAAAAACTAAGGTCTACAATTTACCTCGCTAATTGGTATTAAGAAATTCAGCTGATAAGATAAAATCACCCGAGTCAGCAGTACTACGAAACAAACTATTGCAGCATTTTCAAAATCCGTCAGTTGTACTTCACAAGGCCTGAATTCAACTCTCCATCCGATCGTTGAATTCGGTGGTGGAGGCTTAAACCTCATTGTCTGCCAATTCGTCGACTGAATGTTCTGAAATATAATAAATATATAACATAACATTTTTTAAATCTCATATTTGTATTCTTTATGTATAGAAATGTGTATGTGAAAAAAATTCTTACCTCAAAATGATCTGAGTCCTCCTCATCGTTTTGATTAACTTTTTCAGAGAACAACGATACTGTGTCTCTAATAAATAAATGTGCAATGTGCTGAGCCAACAAATGATCGATGCCATTTTCTCTCAATTTTTTATAATCTTCTTCGTTATATAGCAAAGGTATATTATTGTATTTCTCGCCTTGTTCTGATAAATACGAATCAATTGAGTCGTATCGGGATTTTTTTATAACAAATTTGTTCTCCTTTAATGGCTTAAGCCCTCTTTCCTCTTCTGTTCTACAATCAACCGAACTGGAAATTATATTCCACCTGCAATCCACGTCTGTAACAAAACCTCTATGGAGGGGCGATGCCGCCGAAAACGCTAGCTGCAAAATATTTATTAGCAAATTGGCCTTTGTTATGTGAAGCTATAATTTACCATAATAGGGCACAACGGTGTCAGTTGATCATAAAGTGTTCTTGCCTCGCTGATATTACAAGCCTGAAATGTTAGCTGTAGGCAGCAGCATCCCATACCAAAACCCATTGCATCCATATAAACATGATCGGGGAGAGCAGCTTTGCTGTACTTGTAAGAGTCATCGACTGGTATTTTCGTATTTTTATCTTTGTAGACTGAAAAATAGAGAACATTGGTTTCCCTATAAAATTCTTACAATAATCCCAACACAATATTTTAAACTAATGATATCGTCGGAAACAACTACCATGCCACCATCCAACATTACAGTGAATTACAATCCTAATATTTAGTAAACATAAACATTTGTCAGCAGAATCACTGGGTGCAAACCTGTTTAGAACTTATTAGTTCTCATATTGGACCTACTATTAGACATTGAATAGCATAACATAAGATATGACATATACTTTATAGGTTGTATCTCACCCACACATGAATATATCTTTGCACATCACATGTATTGCAACAAGTTTATATAATAGATATAAAATAACTATTATTATTAAATATATTTTTCTCACATCAATGATGAACATAGAACATATTTTCTAATTTATTTTCCAAAGTTTAATCTGCTGCTACAAGGTCAAAATGTGCAGAAATTTGGTACAAATTCTTAACAATAATAACAACATTTTAGTTTTATCTTATCAAAACGTTAGAATATCAAATTTGTATAAATCTTATTTAAATTATTCATCTGTAAATATTATATTTTCGGTACTTACTTCTAAAGAATTAAAAAAAATTAAGATAACTAGAAGTAATCAAATTTTATAGTAGATAAAAATATGAATAAAGTAATAATTGTGAAACACTTATCACTGTTAAATTTAATTACACAGTATAAAAATTATGTAAAGATTATATCATTAAACTTTTTTACGTGCATGTAATTTTTCTAATAGGACCTATAAACAATATGACGGAACAGTGTTATTAATTGACCAGAATTTGGAATGCATCTTCTAAAAATAACTTACAATAATCTCAGTTAAAGATACGAGGCGCCAGTAACCAAGAAATTGGTGTTTTTATTTATAGCTTTATCATCATTGATTTTTGTCCTTATCAATACCCTGTTGGATGTATATGCACTTGTGTTCACTTTTCGAAATTGAAGAAAGTATAATTTGTCATTTATTAAGACTTCATTTTGAAACATAGTATACTCTATCTAAATAATAGATATAATTTTCTGTTAAAATATTTCAGAAGATCCTATACTCGGACGTAAAAATATAACTGGCTGTTGGATTTTCCCCAACCTTAAATTATTATATGAAAATCAGTAGGGAATGATCAAAATTTAAGTGGTCATCTCTGTGGTCATAGTTTGATACTGAAAAAATTAAAATTTAAATAGGTTTAACTAGAAAAAACTGCTTATTATGAAAAACATATTTCGTAACCCTCTAAGATTTCATTTCATTCCAATTTTTTTCAACATGAAAGTTCTCAATGAAGGCCTAGAAATTATTTATTAAAAAAAAGGTATAGGCCACATGTTTCATTATCAAAGTATACCTGCTGTAATTTTCACCCACTGCGTTAGATATATAATATATTGTGATATCAGATCTCAGAGAAATACTAAAGTAACTCACTAGGTATATTAATGGCCACTTTTTCTCCTCTTCTTTGACGGATATTTCTAGACAATGTTTTAAATCTCGGATGGCCCGGAAATATAGCTTCATCAGGGAAAAATAGTGACCTAGTAGCACCTTCATTAGGAGTTGGTTTTGTAGGAGGATCAGTAAAATTTTCAGAACCTAATCTAAAACAAGTTATATTAGAAAAAGGAATTTTCTCACAATTTCTTCTACTTCTTCAAAAACAATTTGGGTTGAGTTATTGCATAATCCATGACTATTAATTTTAAGTTAAATTGAAAGAATATGTAGATCTAAAGTGGATATGTGACTAATAACTTCAAGGAAAATGATTATCTGATAATAGAAATATACTGCAAATCATTGTTATAATCAGTATATTTAATTTATAATTTGCTTTAATTATATTACAGTTATAAAAGTTTATTTTTTGATCTAATATAATGTCTAATATAATGCCTATATTAATAAATGAATATACCTGTACTGTTATATAAAATTATATATAAATAAATAAATTTAATAAAAGTACATGAATGTTTTTATATTATGAACAATATCAACTAATACAAGTACTGCAATATCTAACCTAGCATAAATAATGATTACATAACATAAAATGAAATACTTTTAACTACATCACGACTTGCTGCTATTAATTAACATGAAATGAAAAACATGTCTTGAAATTAATACCAGAGGATCTATTTCTAAGAATAATTATTCAAATAGATGATTACTTAATTTTTCCAATTAGAACAAAGTTATCAGACTGTTTAGTATTGTGGGAATATATTTGCTGTTATTTTTTGACGTGTATAGTATCTGTTATATAAAAATGATTTGTTAAATTTGGATGTTTTTTCTTTATATTTATTTTGTACAGAATAGCTAACATGACTAAGCATAGTTTCAAGTTCAATATGAGCTGAAGTTAATCATATACCAAGGAAATATCTATCAAGGCCAAATCTATCAATATCCAATACAACACAGTGAAAAAGTTTTACATTGATTGCCCTTAGGAAAGTTATTTTCATTAATATTAAGTGGGTACTTATTATTTTCCTTATAAATGTAGGTATACTGGTAGCTAAATATTACAAAGTACCTAATTTTAATTAATGAACTGGATATTTCATAAAATTCAATGAATTAATAATAATAGATGAACTTTTTTGTTATATTGATAGGTACATACAAATTATGAACAACGATTGAGCACTAAGTATTGTATAATGAAAATTCTAAGAAATAAATTTCAACCAAGGCTACTTTTTCATACCGTTAAATATATTTAGAAAACTTGTTAGAAAATGATCAGTTTATGACATATTAAAAGATTGTACCTATTACAATAACACCATTATTTGCAACAATTTTGTGGTTTGTATGAATTGAAAAACAACTTGTGTAGAAATCAAACTTGAAAAGTGCGAAATCCAAAGCAGCCATAAAAATATTTTTCTGCAAAAATTGAAAGATCGACCTTTTTAAATATTTATTCAAACACAAAGTGAGGACCCGATAGGTAGGTATATTCATTTGTTTCTATATATTGCAGTTTAAAATGGCTTCAGGTTCTGTATATTAAAAGTTATGATGAAGAATCAGCACATACAATAATTTAGTACCTATATGTACATCAACTTATTTATCCATTTAATGCTTTATTTACAATTTTCTACGGAGTTTTAAGGTATATAAAAGAAAATAAGTGTAAATATAATCCACAGTCAAAATCGTTTCATTGCCAATGCAAGTAAATTGCATAACTCTTGAGATAATATTGTGTAAATTGTCCACAAATCAAACTAAATTATGCAGATTTTACATTTTATAGGTGTTAATGTCTGGAGTATGTTATACTATCTTAAATTAAAGGATTAAATGAATAGACGTGTTGGTACAGGTTTCTATTAAAATTTTGATAACGGCTTAAGAAAGGAAATGCTATTTAAAATGTCTGATTGATAAAGAGCTTTTGATAGACGAATACAGGAAAATTACAATTAGACACTTAAATCCTTTATAGATCTATTAAGATAAATTTTTATCTGTATAATCACATATTTGAAATTATATCACGAATCACTGCAAATTTGATAATCGTTTTTAATATCCTAAAATAATATAATGTAGGTTTATAGATGTACAAAAATTGTACTAACTTCTGAAATAGTTAATGTTTATGAAGTTAATGTCAGTTTTATAATTACTAAAAATTGAAATATTGAAAAATATGGCGATACATTCATCGACTTCATGGAAACAATGCCATGTATACATCTATTCTTGAGAATTTTTCGTTCATTTATGAATATCCTGAGCAAGACGCTAGCCATTAAAAAATAATTTCATATTACATGATTCAGAGTAGATGCCTTTGTACCATTAACTGCTATCTTTATAGGTGTGAATATTGCTGCCATTTGGTATTTTCAAATTTCAAACTCATTAGAATTATTTTTTTAGTGATAAGTGGTTGAATTTGAAAGTGATATTTGAATATTAAAATGATCAATTGTTCCCTATATTCCAATAATCCCTTTAATTATTTACAGTTATAAATAAATAACTATTTTTCTTTTGTAAATATGATTAAAGTAAACGTTTTATTTAGTTACTTTCAAAGTTTTCAAATAATGAATGTAATGTTTCTAAAATATGGTATGTAGGACATGCGAGTACATGCGACCATAAAGAAAAGGCAGTTATTATATTACAAAGTACAAAAATCGATAAGCAATGTGCAATAAGCATAACACAGATAAATATAATTTTGCAAGTTTGAAAATTATCGATAAATGAGCAAAAGTAACCTGTCACTTTCTTCAGTAAGTTACATATTCTTAAGGCATTGGTCATTTTGCCAAGACTTTTCATTTAAATATATACTTAACAATTTATAGTTACGATACATTATGTTAATAAGACTGACCAATATGATAAACTGATCAAATCATTTTAATGATACTTATATTAGGTAATATATTTCCTGACGTAGGTACCTAAATGAATATTGTATAATGTTAGGATCAAAGTAATGTTTTATTAAAGGTATTTAACGGTATTTACTTCTTAACTACCAACCAATATTGATTGTTCCATTAATCACAACAAACACAAGTTTAGGGGAAATAAGTCATAAGAAGTTTATTGATTTTATGTATTATGCAATAGTTTAAGAAAAAAAATATTTTGAAATTTGTGAGATCCATCATCACTAACCTTGGGAAACTGGTTAAACTCATAATAACTTCATCCGGTTTTAGTAACTGACTGGCTTCTTCTCTCCTATGCTTCATATTCGCTTCTACAATATTAAAATGTGCTAACAAACCTCCATAAGGCTTTCCTGGGGTCCCTTCGATCATATATGCTCCATACTCTGGTCTCCACAATGATTTCACTCCATTTGGATCGGCAAGCTCTCTCTCATTAAGTACAGATAAAATTTCCTGTGCTCTTAAACTTACTTTTGCTTCCTTTTTGTCGTCGAAGAATTTAACAATAATATACTCAACTTCATCACCCCATTTAAGTACATCCCCTTGTCTATCTCGAAGCCGTTTATATAAATTTATAAACTGTGAAATTCCATGTTCTCTAACATGTGAGGCCAATTTTTTTGTTTCCTCCCAAGAAAGGGGGCTACCTTCTGTTAAAAGACCCATTTTAAATCACTATTAAATATTTTTATATAGGTATCTCTAAATATTATGAAATTAAATTTCTACCGAGCTTCCTTCACTTTCTTAAAATAACACCTATCGGTTTGCAGCGCAAACACTTATCACCACATTGAACAATTAACTAAAAAACTAAAATCTGCGTTTTTATATGAAAAAAAGATAGTAACATTTGTTGCGCAAGTCGATAAGATATTGCACCATTCAGCAGTTCATTTTTTTGTTTGTCATGGAACAAGCACCCCTGCTTAAAATGTTCCCGAACAGGTAGTAAATTATGACTCCTCTGTAGTTTTAAACGAAAACATGATTTATTAAATACGCATGTTACATGTTTCTATTTTGACATTCATGTCCTTGATGGAAGGCATGGGAAGGAAGGGAGTGTAACGTCACATATTTAGGCATGTTTTGATAAACTATCAACAGTCCAGAATCATGCAATAGTTTCAACTTTACGTTACAATTATTGTATCAAAATTTCAACTAACAAGTGACGTCATTCACTATTAAATAAAACTATACATAAAACATCACGCTCACTACTTCCTGTAAACAATAAAATGTTTGATTAGGCAGGGTTAAGTTAGTTTTAATAATTTTGTTTTCTCTTTACTACCGAAGCGGGTCCATTATTCCCTTCTTTTCAGTTACCAACCGTTACCTCGGTGAAACCAGAAATGGTAATTCGGATAATATCGGAACACAACCTTTTTTACTGTACTTACTCAATGTATAGGCAATGTTTATATAGTTCTACATAATATATAAACAATGGTATATGTCTATACTTCTCTAATCTACAATGTCTATGTCGTTTTCCACAACATCGTTAGCAGGGAGTCGTTAGTTAAAAACTAACCCTACCTTTTGTCCCATTGCGCTTTTATAATAGCAAAAACTTTTGTGTACGTAGAATAAAATAGATATCGAAATATCAAATTAACTTTATTTTATGTAACTTTTTATGAATATATTAATAAATTTTTCTTATAAATACTTAAAATATATAAGAGCGTTCTTTTACCCTCCTTACCTCTTCACTCCCGCGCTAACCTAAGGGCCACCTTAGCAAAGCGCATCCCAGGCTGCATAGCCGCACTACCCTACCCAACCATACCACACATAAACATGACACCACCCCCAGGGTTAACACAGACGAGCCGGCGAAGCAAGAAGAGCGCCAGAAGAAAGGGCCCTAGCTGGTGGGGTCCAGCCAGGACAAAAGCAGGTCCCACAAAGCGCCTACACCGGCCGCATTTGCGGTCGGGGTAGACGACGGATGGAGCCCACCTACGAAGGCTATCCAGGCCTACACGAGATGAGGCAGGATAAAGAGGGATAATCCCCCTCGATCCCAAGTCATTGAGGCCAATTTCTAGCCATGGAATAATAGCGCGTGGCGCACGGTTCTTTTAGATACATGGAACCGTTCCAGCTTCGATTTCGTATCAAGCCTTTTCTTTTTTTTTAGGTATTTTAGGTCAAAGTATCTCATATGTATCTACAATCTACATATAAAAGTAAAGGTAATAAATTCGATTGATTTACTCGACATATAGGCAACACATAATACATGCTCTTTAAGATGTGCATTTCGTAAAACAGAACAATAAAAATAAATTGGAATGCACAAAGAAACAGAAAAAAATAATTTTTATAAATTTTGGAAGCTTAATCACGACACCAAATCAAAAAAGTAACAGTACAATATTCTTGTATGGAGACAGAATGGAATAAAACAGATTACCGACAGATATGGAGACAGGTTATTAATAAAAAATTCTACCTCCTTTCTTATGAATTTATAAAAAATGACAAGGACCAAAGTTTTAGAAAATATTCTTTAAATATCAGAGCAGTGTTGGTGGTTTTGCAGTTCTAGCTCAAACTTGTGTTATTTATTATTTAATAGAACATTTTATATATTTTTAGTTATTTTTTGCTTCTGTAATGGCACTGGTTATACACCAAATAAGCAGCCAACTTCGTGCCATTTCTGGTCATTATTGAAATATAAATAAACAAATAAAAAATCTACTTTTACGCAATCATAGAAACGGTCCTCTGTAAGTTTCATTTTGAAATAATATTCACCACATAAATCTATCTCCTTATCCGATTAGTTGTGTATACAAAGGAGTGATTACTTTCAGCTGCAGACCATAGTTTACTTTGATCTGAGGCTGAATTTTTTGTAGCTCTTTCCTCCTGTGTAATCGAGGTAGTGTGGATACAATTTAGTCCATAATTTCTTAATGATTTTTTTTAAATGGAATCTCCATTTATGATGGCCTGATTTACTAGCTTCTCTACATATCTACGCAAGTTATTGTGTATGATGCGACTGAATGCTGTGGACAATGAAAAGCTTCCAAACTAAAGCACTTATGGTCGTCGATGAAGTAGCCCTTCGTTGCTTCCGTATTTTGGACCCTTTTGCGTATTTCTGTACTTAAAAATTGGTTAGGATTAACGATCTAAAAACGACCTTTTAAAATTATAGAAAAATTACAATTTTTTGTAATAAATTATTTAAAAAGCTTATTTATTTATTTGACAAATGATTTTTATATATTGTAGTATACAAATAGAATGTTCACATAATAGGTAATCTTGAGAAACCCTGTAATGTACAAAAAGTATGTTTATATAATGTAACGTTAAGATATGTTTCGAGAATAATTATTAAGTTAGTTGGTAATATACTGTTGTACAAGACACACCAATAAAGTGACTGTTTATTATTTCGAGTTTAATTTCACAAAGTGAAGGATATTACATATATCATTGAATTTTTTTAGTTCCTCTATTGTGGATTCAAATGCACATAACATTTCAGGTTATAATCCAGTTGTTAACACTTTAACTGCTCAATTTGTTCAGATTAAGTTTAATGTTATTGTAGTATTAATTTACAGTAAATAGAGGGTACACCCGTTAGACAGTTTAAATCGGAAATTTTTTATTGTCCACGACTGTACGTACCAAATGTCTTGGTAAGGAGTAGATAAGAGACGTATATCCCCTACACAACCGGTCGCAGCTACAAATAGATACCAAGAAATAGCCTAATATATAACAAATATTTATTGCCTTTTCTCTTTTTGTTAGGTGTAGGTACAGATTCGATATAGTTACATATACCTGTATATACCACTGAATGCGGTAAATACCTCGTTTCAAACAAGCGCTTACTAAAAAAGAACTGGACGCAATTATCGATATGTCTCTTCCTATCAGACTAGTTTCTAGTGTATAATTTACCATATAGATATGCGATTTCTGCTGCATTACCATGGACTTGCATAAATTTATCAGTTTCTGCACAAAATTATCTTGCACTCTTGCTGAATAAATTTGTTGGTGTTGAATCTCATTTCCTGTCTACGAACTTTTATACGCTTGGATAAGCAAATTATTTTTTGGCGTGAAGCAAATGAAGCAAATCGTGTTAATGTTAAATTCTATGTTGAGGTCGGTTGTTGTTAATGACACGATAAATCGTGTGTTTAAGAGGTGTGTGTTGGTTTCGCTTCAAAGACTTTTGCTGGGACGAAATTTGAAAAACTAGTATTTTTATCGACTAAAATCAATCTTTCTATCTACTGCAGTCAACTATAATCATGGCTTAAAATAGGAAGATATTAACAATGAATTAACTGTTTTTTTAACAATTATCGCAGTTTTAAAATACATATTATTATTTAGTTCCAAGAAAAATAAAGTTGTATCTTCAGACAAGTACTCCAACTATACAGCTTCATTGACTTATATCCTGAGATTGATATTGACCAATCAAAATTGCTAAAACGTCATAAGGTACAATCTTTTAAATATATTTACCATACATTTACAAATAATATTCTATAAGTTAATTAATAATGTAGTGGATTGTCCTGCTTTGTTGGATTTGATAAATTTTCATTTACCAAAGGCCAGCATACGTAATGACTTTGACATAGATTTTTTGTTCAACAGTCTCTAATGTAAAATCAATTTGTAAAAAAAACTATAAATTTTAATTCTAATGTATTATAAAGTACATGTATTGTTTGTTATTTGTATTTATATAAATATATTACTTTTGTTTGTTTCCCAATTCATAAATATGTAAATGAAATAAAATAAAAATAAAATAAAAAGTAAATCAATCCGGACTAAATGATAACACGTTTGTTTTGGTTCTGATCGTGAATGGTCCTAGAAATGTTACACGATTGTACTTTCTACAAGATAACATTTATTTGTTTTCATAACCGAAAAGTTCTATCTATCTATTTTGAACCTTTCACTTCAGGATCAGAATCCAAGATGGGTTTAAAAAGTCTCATTGTATCTAATTTTTGTTAGAACAGGGTGGAAAAGCTGCAAAGTCTACCTTACTTTTCAATTTAATACTCTCCATTCAGGTTCAACATAAAATTGAGTTGTAAAAATTGCTTTGATTTCTCTTGAAAATACAAAATTTGAAATTTTAACAAAGTAAGAAGGTACCTACAAATGTGAATAATATTTAATCTCACGTTTATTTTAAAAATTTACATTGCAAAATATTTTAGATTGAGTAAATAAAAGTTGTTGCGGTTGTTGTTCTTCGAGAACTTAAAAAATTCATTAAAAAAAATAAATGTATGTATGTAAAAATATCCTATATGTTTGCATCAGTGTTTTTTTGCGGACTTTTTAATTCATAATAGTTAGTTGTTAATCAACTTTCTGTTAATTAATCTTAAGTTGTAAATTAGTCTTGTCTTTATGTACTTTTTTTTTACTATTCCTATTCAATTGTTGTATTGACCAGAGGAAATATACGTTATTATTAGTATTATGGATATTTCAACCTGCATCGTTACTTTTGTCATGTAACTACTATTAAATTAAAATAAAAAACAAGTCTAAAAAATACGAAAAATACAGTGTTCGATTTGAAACAAGAAACGTAACCTACATATACAAGCAGGGCATACAGTGTTCAATTGTTATTTCTAATTCTCAAAGCCATCCACAATTTTTATAGAAGTCAGAAAATAACAAGGTTTCGAATTTTTTAATGTTGATCTTTATTGTATGGGAATAAATATGTTTTGTTATGATGACGCTTTACGGATTTAGTATTTTATACCGAAATATCTTTTTTTAAATCTCTGCCAGTTAAAAGCGACCACCCCTCGTAGAACTTACGCAATGCGCCGTAGTTTATGAACTATTCAATATCAAATACTGGAGCAAGTACCGCGTAATACGAACATGTAAAATGAAAACATATTACGCAACAAGTGTACCTATGTACGTATCCACAGAATTTCTAATCTAGAATAATGAAGCAATTTACATGAA